AGTTGCATGTTCACGCGTGAACATGCTACTGCGGAAACGAATGCGTCTCCTCTGCCAAGAGTCGCCCTCTCGCACGGTAACCCCTTGCCGATTATGCCGTCGTGCCAAGAGGATCCTGTGCCAGGACGAGGAGGTCCTGTGGAACGACGGAAGGGATCGTAAGGACGTAACTAGCGTGTCGGTGTCCCTGCAAGGAGCCTCTCGTACCGAGGCATGCTCGGTACCTCGGGAAGTACTTGCCAAATGTCAACATTCTGGAGCCTAAGTGGAACATAAGTCTCGTTAGTGCAAATGGAATGGATTTCTTGATATAAATTGATATAAACGGCATCATTGTTAAAAAAAATGTATATAAAAATTATTCACAATGAAGATATAAAAATCATCCTTCGATGATAATAATCCCTCATCTTCATTGGCTTATCTTGAGGCCGAGTTATCTCAAAAGTCTGGGGTATTTCTAGAGATGGGATAAATACCAGAAATATTTGGACGTTCCTCTTCTTTCGTGTGTCCTGCAAGCTCAGCCGGGATTTCCGGGGAATTTGTCGCAATTTGTTGCAGCGACCAAACTTAGCTGCACTATGGGGCCCTTTGTCCCTTCTTATGGGGAGGAGAGGGAGAACCGCGTCTCTAAACGGCCACTTTTATGCACGGGGCTCGACTCGGGTCTCGAAACAAGTTCAAAGGAAAATCTCCGGGGCAGGGAATGCGTGTTGTTCCCTCAGTAAGCGCAATTTCTCCCAGTGCACCTCTGGAGACGTTCCCTGTTTATCATTAGCTCTTTCGGTCTCAAAGGCTCAGCTTGGGAAGGGGTTAATTTCTGGGGGTGGAATTTAGTTCAATTTAGACCGTCCGACGTGCCTCTATAAAGAGACGTCGGGTTACGCGTCTTAAAAGTAGATTTTATACATTTTTCCAAAAATAAATCATTAAACTTATTTCGTTATTAAGCTTCCACTCCATCTTACGCTATATCTCGATCCTTATCAATCACCTTTAGAGCGACTTCACTGAAAACGGAATTTTGGAGAAATGATAAACACATGAAGTGTGGGTTAAAGCCTTCAGGGAGAAATCAAAAAATTGTAACAATTTCGTAAACATTCCATCTCGTTCGTTATCACTATTTGGGAGTAAATCCACCAATGAGAGGACGCTAAAAATAAAATATCGAGAAATCACAAATGCAAGAATTCGTTATGGCCTTCGATAAGAAATTCCCATAAGCAGCTCTGTCCACACTTTGTAACCATGTTCTACCCATTCCATGAAGAAATGACAATATCAGCGATATTAAAATTCCTCTCGCCCTCATCACCTCGATTTTACATCCCCGCTGTATCTCGGGCCTTATCACTGTTTGCGAGGAAATCTCCATCCTTCCTCGGATGCTGGAAACGGAACGGCAAGAATGCAGGGGTGCGAGCATTCGTTAGCCTGGTTCCCTGTAAGAAGTCCCCCTACTCGGCTCTCTCCGTAATTTGTAATTCCGAAAGAAAGCGAAGAAAGTGGCAGGGGAAAGGGTAAGGCCAGGGAGAGAGAAAGAGAGAGAGAAGCCAATTCCACGACATCAAACGAGGACGAGCCCGGCGTACCGTGAAATGTCGCGGGCCAAAAGGCGGCGTAGATGGGGGTGCAGGAAGTGCAGGGGTTGCACGCACACCGGAACCACCCCTGCGTGGCCCTGCACCGACGGGGCTGCACCTGCGTGTGCACCTGTCGCACCTGGACCCCATTGCCTCGCGCAATAAGAATGTATTTACATATGCAACGACGCTGGAGTGCAGCCAGCCCGTTAGGTTAACTAGCGAGGGAAATGCACAACGGCTCGTTTGCACCGGATTATCCGGAGAAATTAGACTTCTTCCTTATCGGCCGCCTTAAAACCGGCGAGTCGCATCGGCTGGCGAACATTCGACCTGCCAAATGCATCCAAAATGCATAGGTGCATGGAAATTGAAGACACACTTGGAAAGGATTTCCTAAACGTGCCATTCTCTCGTTGCAGGTACTTTTTTATACGAACTTTAGAATCTCTAGCACCGATCGGGAATTATTCTCTCATTCGTGGAAATGAAATTTTCATTTGCGGGAATTATTTAATAATCTTTTTCCTTCGAGTTAGTTTTATTTAGGGAGAAACGTCGAAGTTTTTATTTGATAAGCCTTATTCTCGACGAGCTCGATTGAATACCTGGATTGCCAAGTACCGCGAGTTCCTCAGGGGTCCTTCTCGAGGAGAGAAAGGGGCTTTTCCTGGGAAATTGAGTGGCAAAGATTTTCCCGGATGAAGGGCCTCGTTAATTCCGGGTAAACCCCCGCAGGGGAACAAACAATATTTGGCCCCGCCGACGTGGCCCGATGAATTTTTCAGACTTACAAATGACGGAGGCGTCGAAGTGCGGCCAGAAAGGGCGCCGTTGCCTCTGAAAGGGGCCCCGGGAAATGAAATTCACGGACAAGACGTCGCGACGCCTTCACTTGAGGGTGGAAACCTCGTTACCTTTCCTCGGCGTCCCTAGATTTCCTCCTAGATTCTTTCACTGCAATTTCCTCGCTGAGATGCTCCGCTCCTCTCGCTACTAATTAATAAAAACGGTTAATTAAAGTTATTACCGAGTGGCGCCTAGGGGATTTTTTATTCCCCAGCCTTTTTTTCCAAAATCGCCCGCCGGAAGTTCAGGGAATTCTCGACGTCGAATTTTTTTTCACCGGAACTTCGCGTCCAGGAATCTTCTTCGGCGGGTTTTCTCCTCACCTTTTCTTACCGGCGCTCGGAAAGTTCCTCGATATATATATGTATATATATGTATACGTGTATATGTATATAGGAAAGTATAGATGTAGATATATACGCAGACTCCTCCTCGACGTTTTATCCGGGGGATGTTTTATCTCCGACCAAAGTCGGCGGAAGTCCGTTTGCCCCGGCAGTAGGCTTCTTCGAGAGGAAGACGGAAAAGTCGTTTCGCGTGTCCCGAGTTTAAGTTACCCACGAAGAGTCAGGTTGTGACGAACAGGGCTAGCCTCTTCGCGAAATCCGCCGGCGGAAACGCGCCCTCCAACTTTCCGCCGCATGACGAAAAGTCGCTTATCCGCCGCCTGCTTCCGGTCGGCCCCTTTCGAAAATTCGACAAATTTCTCTTTTTTATTTAGACTTATGTCAATCCTCTCGTTTCAATCCTCCTTCCTACCACAGTTCACAGCTTTATTAGAAAGAGAAAGTTCATATGTACAGGATACACGTTTTAATATTAAAAAGGAAAAGTAAAAAAAATTAATTAATTTCGCCTCTCTGAGGGAATTTTGACACTTTAGGAAAAGTAGGTCTCAATGTTTAGAGTAATTGCATCGATTTTTATGTGGACAATAAATGCATGAAATAATCGGTGCGAATTTTTTGACGGCCAGATGATAGGTGGAACTTTTTTTTTTTTCGCACATGCGTCCGACTCAAAAAAGGGGATGCAGTTTAAAGATGCACTTGAGGCTAGCCAAATGACATCGAATTGACAAATGGCGAACTTGCATTCATTTTCTCACGATAGATGCGAAAATACTGAAACGAATTCATCACCGGGTATCGCAACGCCAGGTAGGTTTGTATTTTGTTTGTTTTTTTTTTCGCATGTGGATATCGGCTCGAAAGAGGGCTTGCAGTTTAAAGATGCACTCGAGGCCAGCCAAATGATATCGAATTGATAAACGGCGAGCTGGCATTACGAGGGCACCCCGACCGGAGGGAGCGAAGTGCCTCGTCTCTCTCGAGTACTCGTCACTTCGACACGCTCGCCCCTCGCAATGGCGTTTCGCGTTAAAGCCCGAAGCAATCAGGAAGATACTCCAATCAAATCCCCCGGGAGCAAACGGCGCCCGGTGGCAAATGTCGGCTCGACACCGCGCGCTGCAAACAGACTGGAATATTTCAATTACGGCCGCGGAATCCTCTCCGATCGGCCGCGGCTTGCCGAATTCCGCCGACGTCGTTCTTTCGGCCCGACGACGGGATTCCCGTTTGCTAAATTGTACTTTTTACGCCCCCCCAGCCCTGTCGATCCAATTCCCCTCGGCCCCGAGCCACGTAAAAGATGGAACGAAGGAAAGAGTCGACTGGCAATTCGCCCCCTTTAAAACGGACTTAAGAATTGAAGGGTACTCAGCAAATCGTCCCGTTTTTCAGGCCACAACTCGCGGCGATTTAAGAGAATCGCATTAGCGGATGAAATCGGATAAAAAAAGAAATATGTATTGGAATTCAGATAATAATGTTATGATAATCTTCAGAGCGAGCCGAGGGCAATCGTTTGAAATTTTACCACCTGGATGTGGAGTCTGTAAGAAAGCAAAATTTCATTCGCTTGTAAAAATGGAACTTTATGAGTGTTGAGACCTTTTGTAGGGCCTCCATGTACACGTGGTGAAATTTTAAATGATTCGGTACGTCCAGTTTGAAATTAAAAACAAGTGTCATAAACGATTGCACCCTCGGATCACCTGAAGCTTCCATGTCACCTAAAAATCCTCCGACGACCCAGTTTCGTCTTTTATGACAATTGAGAAGACTAGGATTTCAATTCCCTGGTAATTTTAAACTCGTCCCCAATTTTTCGAAATTTTGGCAAGAGTATTTACTGAGGTTGAAGAAAAGGGTCATAAACGATTACACCCTCGGATCACCTTAAGCTTCCAGTCGCCTAAAAATCCTCCTCCGACTCAGTATCGTCTTTCATGACGATTCAGAAGACTAGGATTTCAATTCCCTGGGATTCTTAGACTCAACCCCAATTTTTCGAAATTTTGGCGAGAGTACTTACGGAGGCTGAAAAAAAGTGTCATAAACGATTTCACTCTCGGATCACCGTAAGCTTCCATGACGCATAAAAATTCTCCGACGACCCAGTATCGTCTTTCATGACGATTCAGAAGACTAGGATTTCAATTCCCTGGGATTCTTAGACTCGTCCCCAATTTTTCGATATTTTAGCGAGAGTACTTACTAAGACTGAATCCGGAATCCTTAATGTGAATGACGACCATCGGCACCAGCACCATCACGATGAGGTTTACGACGTGGAACACCATTCCCGGGCCGTGAGCTATGATATCCTGCGGCGGAAAATAAAGAGGCACGTTAGACCGGAAGTCCCCGTCTAGGTCGGGGGAGGTTTGCAGGGCATCGCCAAGGGGTGCTCGCGAAATCCGCGAGGAAGTCGCAGCTTTACGACGAGGGCTCCTCGGCGTTTCGGAAGCGGCCGCTTTTGTGTTGAAATTTAAGACTCTTGGCATGGATGCTTAATATCTCCCAGAGAGGCGGACGGAATTGCGAGATTTAGTAGCTCAGTCGCGCCTTCGATGTCACCACGACTAAACGTCACGCCAAGACCGACGATTTGCAATTTTTATCATTTTTGACAACTATGACAAACGCGTCCGACGTCTAGTCCAATATCGCCTGCACGCCTCGGGGAGTTTCGCCCATACGTCAAAAAGGCTCCGTACTTTGATATTCGATTTTCATAATTTTTTCATTAATATAAATAATTCAGTAATTTTCTATCTTGAACAAGGAGATGTAAATTTGGGAGGGAGGTAAGTTTGAGGTTAGGAAAGTGAAGATGATGGAGGAGGGTGAATGGTGAAGGGGTGCAATTGAACAGTCGCGGATCCCATAAACGGGGCGGGAGGGGATGAAAATTAACCAGGGATTATTTAAAAGTCCGGCTCAGCAAGAATGGAACAAGGATCGAGAGGAGTTCAGGTCCCCTTTTTCCCGGGATCGATAGTTGCAGCTGCACCTGTTACCCGGAGCCTGCGAGTCGTCGGCGCCCAGTGGAATCCGATTAAATCAAAGAGACGCTCCCCGTTTATTGGATTTGACTTCGCGATGCGCTTTGTACAACCGTTTGTTCAACGACTAGAGGCGGCACGAAAGATTATTGAGCATATGAAGAGAGAGCATTTTCGAAAAGTCAGGCTGCGACAGATGCACTCCGACTTCACGACTACCTTCAGCTGGAAACGACATTTTTTAAATGCAAAACCCCGCAAAACGTGAGAAACTAGAATTAAAAGCGAATGAAATGTATGAAAGCGAATAACATTTCGTACTGCATTTAAGAATGTGTATATTAAATCTAGGATTATTAGTCTCTTACTTAAGAACTTGACTTTGTGATTCCCATAATTTCATTCGGTTCCTTCAGTTACTTTTATTTATTTTCTACTGTTTGGTTAATGGTAGGAAAAAATTATCTTGTAAAAAGTGGAAGCCTAAGAACGAATTCGATTTTACTCGTCGATATTAATTGTTAAGGTTCTTTGAAATCAGTCCGAAATATTGGGCGTTCGGAAATACCAGCGAGTGCATCCGGTGCATCCTATGCAATCTCAAAGGACCGCCCAGAAGATGTGCTCCGGCCAGTCCGAGATGTTCCTCAGAAGCCAATTGCTCGGAGGACTTGCGGCACTTACTTTAAATTCGGCGTAAATTCGCACCCCCTGTGAAACTTGCCAATATAATCTCGCAACCCCGCCGAACTCCTCAGGGTCCTCTTCGAGGTTCTTCGCTCGTTTGGATCAAACGATTTCCAGGAGCGGTGCAATCACTCTCCCTATAAACGACCGAATCGGGGAGGAGTCCGAATTATCAAGAAAAATGATAAAATTGCGAGGAAAAAAAAAACAATGTTAGAAGAGGGAAGAAAATTCTTGAAATCCGTAAAATCCCTGAAATCCATAAGATCCCTAAAATTCCCGAAATTTCACCCCATACTACTGAACCATGAAAGGGTAAACGCGAGTTATCACGGTAAATGATAAAATGACGGGCTAAAAGCAAGGAAGGAAATTCTTGAAATCTCTGAAAAGGTTAAAATCAGCGAAATTCCGAAAATTCCAGAAATTTCAGCCAGAGGTTTCGCGTGCCCTTTTCCTCGGCTATTATTTTCCGGGCGTTCCGCGGCGGGAAGGCCGCGTACGGGCATCGATCGAAACGCATCCGCGGACGTTTCAGGGCATTTTCAGGGATGCGTCGTTCCGCGATCGGGGCAGGACGCGGATCGGCCGTCGACAGGGGTGCGTAACGCACCGGGGACGCTTCGCGTTTCCGCGGCAGAATTTACGCTTTACCGCGGCGGGGGCGACGATTGCATCGTTAATTCATGCTAACGCGCTGGGCGCACTTTGCAACAGTTTCGCGCTGCGACGCTCGTCAAATGCCGCGGAAAGTTTCATTGGGCCGTGAGTCGCCGCGTTTACGAGGTCGCTTCCGGAAGAGGGAGGTTTACGGCCAAGGGGATGTACCGCCGAGGGGTGGAAATAAAACGGCGAGGACCGCGCGGATCGCTTCGGCCGGACGAGGTTTAACGGGGCTCAGCCCTGTGCCTACCGATACCAGGGGCCGGGTCCACTTTTCCATAATTTCCCTGCACCTCCTGGAATTTCCCTACCCCTTGACTCGCGTGGTCCCGCAATTCTGATGTTTAGGAATTAGTCATAATAATTTAGTTTAAGATGGTATTAAGAGACTGGGGTGAAAGATGATCGCGAGGGGATATCGAGATATCGAGAGGCAGGTCCACTTTTCCATAATTTCCCTGCACCTCCTGGAATTTCCCTACCCCTTGACTCGCGTGGTCCCGTAATTATGATATTTTTTAAAATTATTTAAATAATAATTGAATTGAAAACGGTATTAAATGCCAAGTGTGGAGGATGGCCATGAGTTTCTCTCTTATCACGATTCTTTACCACTTTGTAGTCTTCGAAAAATGTAAATTTCACAAGAGTTGAGTTTAAACAAAAATATTGAAATAACTATCACGGAAGAGGAAACGTTACTAATATCTTGGATCTCAATTCTAACCCCATAACAAGAGTTAGAAAAATGATTTCGATGACACTCACCGCAGCCAACCCCTTCTCGATGAGCAGACACAGAACCACCGGGACCGTGGAGTCTGGAAAGAAAATCGAAAAAGATTAATCCCTGGCTTGCCAAAATTCCCGCACGTTCCGCACTATCGGATTATTCGAATATCAAAGAAGGGCCTTTTATTTATCACAGAGGTTTAGAACCTAGCAATCGGGAAATGGATAATCCGCGAGGATTAATTTTGGAAAATGCGACGAACTCGGAGCGACTATCTCGCGGGGGAAGTTCCGTCCCAGTTCGAAATCCGCGGGATATCAGCTGCGGTATCGCCGCTCCCGGAAGCCGACAAAACATCGCGCCGCCGCGGACGAGTCCGGGACAGGTTACGGGATGAGATATCGCGAAAGTTAAATAAGTTTAAGAGATGCCGAGCGATAGCTCGGGACCGAGTTGAAGCTTTTCGGGCCGGCTCGGAAGGGCCGATAATTCTTTCGAGTGATGTTCGTGACATACCGAGGAAGACGCGGATTTACGCGGATCTCCTTCTCAAAATTCGGACGCGATCCCGAATTCTCGGATTAACTTCTCGATAGCAAACCCCTGACCTCGGCCAATGATTCCCGAAAATGCCTAATCCTCTTCGGCGCCTCGCAAAATGACCTCAGAAAAATTGAAAAACCTCAATTAATCGATATTTTATGGAAAATCATTTCAGGGAATTAATTTCACCCCCGCGAGAAATGATTTAAACATTTGTATAGAAATAGAGGGGGCTGTTTTTTCTTTTCCAGCGAATCGAAGCGTTCCCCCGGGAATTCCGGAAATTCTGGCCGCGCGGGACGTCCCGCAGGACCCGGCCCAGGGGTTGAAAGTTCTCTAAACAATTAGGGAAAATTCCGGCGTTAATCCGGCCGCGATTCGAGCAATTTCCCGAAAGTTGGGTCCGAATTAACCAGTCGGAGAGTTGGGAACAAGGGCGAGCCGCCGATAACCGTGCGGATCGTGATAACGGCATCGGATCCGTATCAGAGGATCGAGTTATCGCCGATTAGCTTTGACCTGCCAAATTGATCGGAAAAATAAATCCACTCGAATCCGTGATCTCGGGGCGAAATGCGGAATTCCGCGCCTGCGTTTACGCGGAAATAATGCGTTATCGGAATCCAATTAGGGACAATTAGGACCTCGCCAGTCGGAATTCCGAAATCTCGAAGAGAGTCCAGGGATGCACTCGAGGCGACATCGAGATGCAGCCGAGACAGTCGGGCCTGCCCAAGGGTGCATAGGTGCATGCACCCGGTATGCAGCCCAGGGTGGTCGGATGCTCTGCAAGCTCGTTCCACGGTGCACCAAAAGCGACCAAGAGGATGTGCTTTGTGTACTTAGGGGTATGCCCAGCTCCTCGAGATCTCCAGAAATCCCGAATCCAACCGTATGTCCAGTCTCCCGAGTGCTCGAAATTCATTCCTGACGTCAACCCCGAAATTCTTGAAATTTCACCCCCCGCGAGAAAAAGTTCATTTTCACCAAAAACGCATCCCCTGATAGAAGAAGCCAAGCAGGAAAATAAAGAAAAGTTGATTTTCGATTTCACAGGAAAAAAAATTAATTCACTTGCTAATCGAGGAATTCATCCCTGATGTCAACCCCGAAATTCTTAAAATTTCACCCCCCGCGAGAAAAAGTTCATTTCCACCAAAAACGCATCCCCTGATAGAAAAAGCCAAGCAGGAAAATAGAGAAAAGTTGAGTTTCGACTTCACAAAAAAAAAAACTCACCTGCTAATCGAAGAGGTTAGGAAGGAAACTACGGAAAATTAAATTAATAAACAAACATTCACCGGCTAATCGCGAAGATCAAGGTGGAAAATTAATATTCATTGTAAAAAATCTATTGATAAATGGGAAAAATAGGGGAGCGTACATTTTTAATAAGAATTACAACCGCAATAATCGTGAAGGTTAGGGATGTTGAAAAATGAAAAGGGAAACCGCTGGAAAATCGCGCGCGGCGTGAAAATTACCCAGAGATTGGTAAAACCGGTCACGTTTCTGCATTGCTATCCATCGGTCTCCTTGATTAATGAAAACGAATGGACGCGTCTATTTCAGAGAACGAGGAGCACTTTTAAAGGAGTCGCCGAATTCGCCGGATGCACCTCGCAACGATGATGAGAATTAATGCCCAAGGGGGTGGGTGATTAAGTCGTGCCCTCCCGAATTCGCAGGGGTGGCCGATAATGGTAATCGATGAGGCGCTAAATTTCTGACTAATTTCCCGCCCCGCTCGGGAAATTGACCGAGCATTTCCTCAGGGGAAATGAGGAAGTCAAATTATCAAGAAAGAAAAGTTCTCCCGAGAAAACTCACAGGGAAGAATCGAGGCGACGACCCCCGGCTCTTATCATCGGCAATTACTTATCCCAGGGAAAATCGCGAGATCGAACTCGCCCCGGCAATTTGTCAAGGAGTTAATTAATTAAGGGACGTAGATTTTCCGCGGAACTTCCGCTTTTACGAGCCCCGCCGGTATTTATCGGGAATGCACCGGGTGCATCGAGTAATAATTAACCAAAGCAGAGAAAGTTCGAGGCGACGTCTTCGGGTCAGCTGATCAGCAAGGGATGAAATTTCAGGAAAACCTTCCACTCGAAACAATCTAACCAAAGTTCCGCAAAATCAACCGCACCCTTATGACCGGATAGGAAACTCGACAAGAGGGATAAATCATTCACTTTCGAGCGGAGAGTATTTATTAAGAATTTCTGAAGATCATTATCGAATTTTTTCTAGCATTTCCCAAGAGCGTTGTTCGTTTCGACGTGAGCAATTGCGAGTCTTTTTTTTTTCTGGTTTTTATGTTTGCAGGAAAAAAATATATATATAAATCGAGGAGTTCACCAGGGGTGACACGGAGTACCCGAGGACTTCTCGGAAAATTCCAGGGTAGCTAATCGGGCCTTTCTGCCGATTATTTGCCTTCTGCGGGGTAGTCGAGTTTGTCAAAGCTCCGCTCGGGGTTGGCTAATTAAGAGCCTTCCTTTTTCCGAGGCTAAGTCCCGGCACATCTCACTTGGAGTTTGCCGTTTCCCTCTCGTAAGGTAAAGTAGCTGTTCGCCATCCGAGAAGGGAAGAGAAGGTTCCTCGAAGTCGTCCCTTCGTTTTTCCCTACGCGACGTCGGAAAGTCACGCGAAAACATGAGCCCGGTGTCGCGTGCTAATTATGAATAATTACGAGGGCCAATTAAGGCGGTGTTTTACGATTAAAACAGCCCCCTCACCTTCCCTTACGCGCCGCTGCATCGGGGGGATAAATCCCCCGGAAAGTGCCGCCCCACCCCTCGCAGCACCCCTAGCAAGACAGTGCTCCATTTCTCCAGCTCCAATCCAATTAATCTCTCATAAATGTATCCTGCTCTCGAAAACCTACCGAAATAAATCCGAAATCTTGAATTTATACCCATTTAAAAAATCCAGATTGATCATAAAAGAGAAAAAAATCATTCTATCGACGGTATGCGTCATCTTGAATTTTTTATTTACCATGTTATTTACATTTTTCCAGGATTTTTCGAGTTTTCCCTAACTCGGATTAAGTAACTCCCGGGGCGAAGTCGCTTCCACGCGGGATTCCGCATTCCGCACCGGATTTTCCTAAATTAACGCAGCACTGGTTTATTCCGCACCCTGGCACGCGTTTACGCACGGCCGAATTTTATTCCTATCGCAAGTGTGCGTGTGTGTGAATTTTTTTTTTTCGTAAATCAAAACTTTTCTCCCGTATCAAGTTGCATTTTTTGTATTTGTACCGCGTTGTACCGTTGAAACAATGCTCCTAAATTGAATAGTTAATTAACAAAAAATCAGTTCATTCCGCATCTCTGCAATCGAGTCTCCCTTGGAACCCTTATCACCGTTTAAAAAATTGCCCAAAAATATTTCCTGCCATTAAAAAATGTATTCACCCCCCTCGTGTCTTTGCAATCGAGTTTCCTCTCTCCGGTCTCCCGGTTATCACCGGTCATCACCTGTTATCAGCGTTATCACGGACAACCCGTAATTCCATTCGCTCTGAGCGACCCGGGGTTAATCGACGGTCCCCTTCGATGAATTCCTCCCCGTCTGGAGGGGTGTGTTTCCTCGCTCGCCTGGCGGGGGTAGAAATAATGTCGGCTCGTAAAAAGCGCCCCATGACAATGACGATCTTTACTGCCGTGCGTATAAATGCAAGTAACGAAACGTTACGGCCGTCCTGGCCGTAAAAAACGGGCCGCGGAAATTCAGCGAGTGCGGATTTACGAACGGCCCGTTAATTTCGGTTTGAGGTGGGGCTGGAAGAAGAGGGCCTGGAAAAGACTAAGTACACCGGGGGTGGTTTCGCTCATCTAGGGGAAACCTGGGGGAAATAATTCGAGGACTCCCCTCTGAGTTTCAGGTGCATGTCCGCTCGCTGCACTCGCGTGCCGTTATCAAGACACCGGCCCCATATCACGGGCTATTGATTGTAAGCCGTCCGTAATAAATTCCGGGGATGTTCTTTATTACTCTTGGGAGAATCAATTTTCCGGCGATAAATAAAATGCCCCCCTCTCACACACACACACACCGCGGAGGCCGCAAGTTTACCCCCACATCCGAAATTTGTTCGCGGAGGGAATTTTAACGGGGAAGTTTGAATTTTTGAGGCGCGTATGGGGGTGGGTGGGGAATTTCACCCCTTTTTTCTTCCCTGGTCGGACTTTTCGAAGAGGGCCACTCGGCCCGTACGTCCCTTTTTGACGTTGCCCCGCGTTTTACGAGGGCTGCGCCCCAATGAAAACGACCGCACACCCTTTGCCGCCATAAAGTAACGATTCCCTCTGTGTATAGATATAGATCTCACGGTTCGAAAGCCGCATCGAGGTTGCAATCCACCCCCCCCCGAATATCGCCGATTGCCCATCGCTCCTCGTAAAGGGCAGAATTAACGCGCCCCGCCCGGAGGACGAAAAAAAAAAAGAAATTGATTTTCCGCCCTGTGGTATTTCCCGCATCGGAAAAGCTTGCCGAAGGGCGGAGGAAAGGAATCGAGAGCGGGAAAAATTGCATCGGCGACGTGGATTTTTCGATACCCTGGTAGAAGCGCATCTTCGAAGTGCAATCGAAGGGTGGCTCCGAAATTGCACGTTTAATATTTTCAATTATCTGGTTTTATGGTGGAGCGGGGATACAGGAGGATTTTTTAACCTGGGATGTAATCGTCCCCTAAGTTTTGTGGGCGATGGTAATGCGGCTTCTCCTCCAGGGGGCGATTTTTCCAATTCTCTTGTAGAGGGGCGCACGCCAAGAAAATAATATCCGGGCACGTAAGTATTTAATCCGACGTCCCTCCCGCGAATAATTAATCCCCTAATCCCGATACAGAAGGCCGGCACTCCCGAGGGCTGTTCCGGGAAGTTCGCTTAAAAAGCAATCTCGGCCCCGAGCTATGAGAATTACGCGAACATCCCCCGTGGCGGGAAGGGGCAAAGCGTAAAAAAGGAAGGGCAGAAGGGCCGGACCCTGAGTTACGGGGGCTGTTACCCCCGCGACCATAACCTACCCTTACGGGGGAATAATTCGACTCCTTAGCCATCTCGCCGCGGAAGCGCCGATCCACGCACCCCGATTTTCCCCTGACTTCAATTTTCATAAATGAAAAGTCGAGGAACGTTCAGCTCTACTTACAGAGAATTAAAATGAGCGATGGGTGCTCCTCACCCCCGTCGTCCTTGCCGCTGAGGAACCGGAACCACTGCCAGGGATCCACTCTGATTCCGTACCTGCAAAGTGATAACGAATCCGATTGAAATGGAGAATAATAAAACAGAATCTCCTAAATAGGATGGCCAAATTAATTGTCACAGTTCCTTGGGAAGTTTGCTTGGAGGGCAGGACGCAAATCGGCCCTACAAAAGGGGATAATTTTCGGAGCGATTATATTTTTTTTATGCTCTTTTGCAAAACTTTCACAGGGGTTGCAAAGCGATAATGAGGTCGATCAAGATGTAGGATAATAAGATAGAAATTCCGAAATTAATTCTGAGTCAACTCCTATCTATCGGATTGAATTTCTTTTCTTTTCAATTAGTGGAATTAGGAGGAAACGTGATTTCAAGGATCTCTAAGGGTGAGTTTGGTGGACGATTCGAGGAGTAAGAAGGTGGACGGGCGGTCAGGGGGCGCCATTAACGTCAACGGCCGACATCATCCCCAAGCGAAGTGGACGTTCGGGGTTGTAGCTCGTAAAAAAGCTCCGAAGCTACTTTCTGGCTTTGTCTCCGGCCGACAGGGGGTAAATAATAAACCGCGCAAGCCAGAGCACCGGTCTGAAATATAAAGGGAGGCCTCGGACACGCGAAAGGAGAAGCGGGGGTGGAACCGCCCGCCCAGCTTCCGCGGTGGGCGGAAAGAGCGCCAGGGGTGCGATTCCGAGGCGGCCGGAAAGCTCAAACGACCGGCTTAACGATGATAAACGACGGCTTATTGTTTCGGTAATTAAAGTATTTTTAAGACGATCCCCCGCAGCCGCAGCCCTAAAGCGCCGACACAGCCTACGGAAGGCGAGGAGCATTTTACCCGGAAATCAGGGAAAGCTTTTGCCCTCCTTGAGACCATAAAATGATAAGAAATCACCGCAACTCAATAGAGACATTAAGCGATACACTTCCTCCAACAACGTCGATTTATCAAGATTTCCCAATGATTTTTAACCTGGTGTTTTCGCACTCGTCGACAATTCCCAGCGAGTGTTACTAGTTCCTAATCACTAATTTCCAGCAATGTCAACGTGTTCTCTTCTACAAAAATGATCTTAATAATTGTCAATTGACTTGCGCAGTTAAGACGCATGATTTTGTTAGAGCAAAGGGTAGATTTTGTTCTGGGCTCTGGATGCTAAAAGGACTCGGAATAATTATCGAATCCGGTCAAACATGTCGCAATGAAAATGTCGCAGTCTTGTAGGACCCCAGTCGGGGGGGTGAATAATTTCTCGATTTTTTTATTGGGGCTGTAAACCCGAGTCGCGACGCACGACGGGCAGCGGGTCTGAACAGCAGCCGGGTAATTTATCGCGCCCGTTAAGTAGCGAGGGAAAAACTTCCGAAGGAGCCTTTTTTCCGCCCGTAATTGCCGGCCCTTTTATCCGCCACCCCGTCCGCCCGGTTAAGCCGAGCAAGCCATTACGGCCGAGTAATCGCGCCCCACGATGCGTTTTCGGGGACTGATTATAAGGACGAGCCTTTGACCGACCAAGCGTGGTCTGCCAGGGCAAACTTCGTGGTCGTGTCTAATTTCTACGCTTTTTTTTGTCTACCTTGAAACCCCGAGGAACTCATTATCAGCGCCAGAAATCCTCCCGCGAAAAGCACTGATAAGAAGCCTCTCCAGGAAACGTCGAATTTGTTCCCGCTCGATAAGAATTTCCCTTCTGGACAGAATCCCACGGGGCGAAATTCCGAAGACTCGCAGGGGGTGATTGATTTTTTATCCAGGCGATATCGCGTCCATAAAAATCTCTGTTTTCGTTATCAGCCCCAGAATCCTTCCCACGGAAGGCACCGATTAGAAGCCTCTCCAGGAAACGTCAAATTTTTTTCTTTTTTTCTCCTCGATAAGAATCTCCCTTCTGGAAGGAATCGCAGGAGGCGAAATTCGAAGGTCTCGCGGGGGATGATTGATTTTTTTATCGAGCGATAAGACGAGGCGATATCGCGTCGATCAAAATTTCCGCCTTCGTGACGGCCATTAGTCCCCGCGTGCGTCTTTTTTCCTCCAGCTCGGCATCGGGAAAAAATACAGCCGGGCCATTTTCCCGGGCCGACGTTACGAGGCCACAAAGGTCGACTCGTTACCCGAAGAAAATTTTTAATCCCCGTTTCCGTCGCCTCGTTGCGCCCTGGTTGTGGCCGCCCCTACGAGATAAACGATGGATTTCGGCCAGGTTAGTTATTATCCCGGGTACTTTCGTTTAACGGGTATTTCATTAAAAAAGGATTCGCTGGGAAGGGAGAGAAATTAAATGAAAAGCCTGGGCAGTTCCCTAAACAATTGCCGCGCATTAATAATTCCGCGCAATGGCACATATGCGAAAATAATAATTTTCCCACGATGTATGATTAGATTAGAAAGGTAAGGGAGATTTACAGTCGTCGAGAACTTCCCTGGGAAAAATTGTGGGCGGAAATTTCGCTGATAACGTACTTGATAAAATTCTCGAGGAGGAGCCGAATTCCGCCAATTCCTAGGAGGAGGAATCCCCAGTTGACAAATCCAGTGAAATTGTCGAATCCGGAGCTCCAGGAGAAGAGGCTGTCCCTCGGACGGTGGCATCTGTAACGAGAGGAATTTCCATGAAAGAGAATGCAAAATTTATCCCGAATTAATAAATTATTCTTAATTAATATCTGCCGGTAACGAGAGATTTTTCCCTGCAGATTAATCAGTGGATTTATTATCCCCCTCCCCTGTTTATTATCTCAAAATATCAGGTTTCATCTGCGGCTAAGTTCGATCTGAGATTGCGATGCACCCCCTCAGGTGGAGGCACGGGGGCAAGGGGTTGTAGTTCACCAGACCAGGGGTAAAGCAAAATTCCAGACACAGAACTCTGGAAACGGATGGAAAATAAAAACCAAGGACTTACAAAGACAGCCGACGACAATGCGGTATCGGGCTTATCGTCCAACCCCATTATATTCCCGATCTTCCGAGGAAACAAGGGCGAGTCTTCTCCCTGTCCTCGGTTTCCCTCCATTTTTTTTTCTATCCCACGATTTCCCTCGAAAAATATTTACCCAAGTATTCCTTGAGTTGCAAAGAATTCATCGAGAAATTTTGGAAAGTATTTGGAATTTTTTCTCTACTTAAAGAGGGGAGGGTTTTCGATTTTTGGACCTAGGGGATGTTCCTAGGAGGTGCGAAGTGTTGACGAGGGGAATCTCAGGGATCGGAATCGTACAAGTGAAGTGAGGCGCTAACAATGCCCCGCTTGATGTCTGAATTCTGAAAAGCCACCCCTTATGTCCTATGGTACAATGGAGTCCAAGCACTCCACCCCTAACTCGGTGCACCCCTGTCTCGGGAACAGACGAAGTCGATGATAACCCTGAAGTGAGAGGAGACACCGTCAGACTGATAAGGGGTAGTACCTCCCCTAAATCCGGAATGTAAAGAAATTCAAAGTCGACCCTTAACGTTGATAAAACAGGAAAATAATTCAGTCAGGGGTAGATTCTCACCCGCTTCCTTTCTCGACCTATTAGACTCGATCGATCCTCTTCTTCGCAGAATCAAGGGGCTTCTAAGCCACCCCCGGGATTCCCCAGGGGGTGGAACCCCTTAGTTAACAATTCAGTTGTAAACCTTTCCGAGTCTGGACCAGGAAACGTCTCGAGCTACCTTCGAGAGATCGGGCTGCAAGACCAGGTGCAGAACCACCCCCTTTGGGGGGTGGCTGAAAGAGTCATTGTTAATGCAATACTTCCTCAGGCTCTAACCCGAAACCTCCGAACCCGGGTGTCGAAAATATCTCTCGAGCTTCAAATACTTTCACATTCTCATTTCTGCCCGGAAACTACCCCCGATGTTTAAACCCCATAATTAATGTAATTTCCTATAAAATATGAAAAAAAGAATTTCCGGAACTCTCTCCTTTATTATCGACGTTTCATTGAATTTACGAGTTACTTTTTATCATTAGTGTTTCTCCTTACGGGAGTAGGCATTTTCATGTGATATCCCGTATGAAAAAAAAATTAAAAAAGGAAACCACATCGAGTGAATCGAATTTACCTTATCATCGTTAAAGATGTTTCACTTTAAGTGGAGATTTTCATACTTATTATCTAGGTATCTATCTCGGCGAGTCATTTCGGCCTAATCTGCACCTCGTTCATGGGGGTGTCGTTAGGGGTGAATTGCACCCCTTAATCGCGGGGTGCGAACCGCCCCCACAGAAGCGCCGGCGACGTCTAGCCTCGCAGTAACTATTATTCCGAATTTATGGCAGATCGGGGTAATTAATAGAAGGCAGTTCGGAACAGCGGGATGGCTGTCACGATGGGGTGAGGGGGGGTGAACACAAGGGGGTGGCAAAAGGGAAGGTGCGTCGCAAATTCCCGTGTCTGATATCGGCGCCGGGGGTTGCAGACATGTCATAGAGAAGAGGCTCCATATTCATGAGCACCGGAAATGCGCAGGGGGTGTCCACGAGGGCTGGTTACACACTTTGTCCCGCCATCCCTCGGGAGCAGCCCAAGTCCCCTTTAAGCGGCTCCGACTAGAGAATTCGCGAAATTCGCGAAATCCGAGACATTCGGGAAATTCGAGAATACCCCCGGGGGGGTGGACGGAGACGTAGCTTTAACTTTGAAATAATCCCTTCCTGGAGAATTCTTCCAGGGTTTTCTCCCCCTAACGAAGCTCCTTTTGACACCGAGACCCGAATCGACAGGGATTGAGAGGAATTGATTCATCGGGGCTCCCTTTGGACGCGATGGAATTCCATTAGAAGAACGGACTGGTACTCCTTCCACCCCCGCCTCAAGTGCGAAGACCACCCCCTCGTCAATTCTTGCAAAACCTTCCTGGAAGAATTATGAAAAATCCCGGGACTGGATTTTCCCCAGGATAATATATAACATACGTGACGATCTTAACGAGATACTTTCTCACCCCGAGCACTATTCTTACAACATAATAATTTACAAGTGCAAAAACCACCCCTTGGTCTGCTCTCGCATAGATTCCCTGAAAACGATGAAAAATCACGGGAAAAAAAAATTCTGCAGCGAGAAAATGCGTTATGTACATGGCAATTTTAGTGTAATGCCTTTTAACTCCTGTTAGGGGGTGGTTATGAGAAATTATGGAAAATTCTCGAGCACTGCTTTCACGGCAAATTTACAAGAACACGTTTTATACGAGATAAATCGACAGTCTCCTAAGCATCGTCAAATTTGTAATAGTAGAAATTAATTGTTTAGGGCGCAGTATATTATACAATATAAAAATCGTTTAATGAGACTTTTTAGCCCACCCTTTTTTTTTCGAGGGGGGGTTTCGGACGCGGCTGGCGATTTTTTCCATTCCGGCCGGAGATCACCCCCGCCAGGGCGGTATAATTCCTCCAGGGACGGAAATTCGCGGGAGCCGAGGCTGCAAAACCAACCCCCGCGACATCGGTCGCTTTTTCGAAAATTCTCCCCGCCCACGAAGGGCGGGAAACATTCGGAGCGGTCCCAGGGCTGCCGAGCCTCGAGCACCGATCGGCGACAAAGAGCGAAATTATTGGAAAAACGTAGGGCTGCCGGGCGAGGGGGTTGAAAGGGGTTGAAAGCTCCCTGCCCGGTCGGCAAAGCCGTCGGAATTTTCACGTGTAATCGAGCAGAGCCCGAAAGTTCCGTCGTCAAAACTCACCCCTCGTCCCTGGAAAACGCGAAATAATGTACCGTCGACCAGTCGGGGGGTGGAAGAGAGGGATGAAATAAAGGACAAACGTTTTGTTAACCCGTCCTGCCGTGACGCCGAACAATGTTTCGGTGTAATTATCAGAGGCCGTAATATAATTCAGTTCTGGTTGAATTTCCCCGACATGGGCTTCACCCCTTCCGGGGGTGAGTTCCAAAAAATCGAGACCAGCACCCCTAAAACCGGAAATCTTCTCAGCCACTCTCGCTTTGAAGCTTCTTATACCCCAACCCCATAAATTCGCGGGTTAAAAAATCAAAACCTACCAAAAAACAAAACCATTTACTTTTCTCCCCCTACCCCCAATTTATATCCACCCTTACGTGTCATTAAGATACTGCATAAACGCCTTCTCCGTAATTAGTATATTACTCTCGGCTGATTATCTGGATTAAAACTGGAGTAAGAATAAAAACTCGAGATGCACTTGAAATTTCTTCCGCCAATTTCCAGCACTGAAGGGTCTTTTCTACCCCCTTGGCAATCGTCCAAATAATTCTCGATAAATTTATCTCGAAGCTTGGGATCATCTTCTTCCCTCAGGAATTATCTTGGACAGTTAATGATTATGGGGAAGAGATGAGCACGCAAGGGGTTCCGGATCGCGGAGAAAGAAAATTCCGCAGGCACCCCTTCGTGTGTTAGGGGTGGCCAGGTGAATACCAGGGGTAACCCCCTCAGGCCGGAGATAAAAGTGGCAAATCTTTTGTTTCCGGATTGTCTCGACGGGGGCGGCTCACAAAAGGCACCACTCGTCCGTCCGGGGGTGGGGGCAGGGGGTGTTGTCGGAGTCAAGGGTGGCTCGAGTGTCGGGGGATGAAACGAAGGAAGGAAGGGCGGGGACGCGTATCCATCTCGCGATCTCGCCGACACCGGGAAGCGGAAACCCTCCTTGAATATTTAACGAGTGGACGGATATACATATATTAGCCGTGTAATGAGCGAGCCCCGACCCTGGATCGGGGGAAGACGGGAACATCCCCTAAATGATTCATGAAGGGAAATTAAACGGCGCTTTCAAGGGAGCTCCTTCCCACCCTTACCCTGGCGCGGTCCGAAAAATGGGGAAAATACATCGAACCAAGGGAAACCCCTCCACCCCATGGAGGGGGTTACCACGTGCCTCCCCATAACCGCAACAAAAAAAAAAATTGGCGCAACATCATTTTCTATTTCTATCTCACTGTCAATGCCAATATTCTCCCGATATTAACGTAGGACGGATGTAAATGGAGATCAGTTGAAAGAAAAAAAAAAAAAAGAAAACGTAAAATAAGTGTTTCACTTTTCGTTTCACGCCATTTCTTCCCACGCGAAGGGGCGTTATCGTGATGTGAGGGGGTTGCGCCTGGAAAACATAAATTCTTCTTAAAATTCCGCGCTTTTTCGAAGAGTTCGGGGATTTATTCGAGATCGGAGGGATGATTTAAGGGTGGAAGGCAGATGCTCCGGAATCGAGGGTGCTCCCGATAAGGTATCGTTTCAGGGCGCGATGTACACCTGGAGTGCCTAAATCAGAGGCCCTCGATTCAGGTCGCGATAATTAGTTCGTGCAGCGGGAAAGTTGGTTAAAAGGATAGGCAAAGTACTCGGTGCCCGTTAGGTTCGAGGAGCTTTAGGGTGGGTGTAGGGTGCAAGGGGGTGGAGGTCGTTTCCTGGTTCGCCAGGGGCATTAAAGAAGCTAATTTAAACTTGGCCAGAACCTCGTAGGCATTTCTGTCGTTTCCGCTGCTCACCTCCCCTGCCGAAGGTGAACTTATTCCCTCGAAATGATTTCCGCCCGGGCGGCGCGACGTATCGTTATGGAAAATTGCCTGGAAGAAAAAAGGCCCCAGAAAACGCGAAAGGAAAAAGAAATAAAAGAGCCGCTAAATTGTCCCATTGCGGGTTCTCAATACTCCATCACAATTTCCCAGAAGGAAAATCCCCATTAAACGTCGATTCTTCCTGTCGTAATTTTTCTTTTTTTTTTTTTTTTAACAATTTTACTCAGCGATTCCCGCCATGGGTTGGCTAGGGGGTCGGTCTATTGTTTCACTGTCCAAGAGGGGCAGAATCGCAATAATCGGGCATAACGTCTGGCAGATGATTCCGGCGATCCCGCCCGGGTGGAATTCTCCCCCTAGTCGGAGGGTTCCGGGATTTCCCTGATTTTCGCCATTTTTCGCCACCCCCTCGCCGCGTCGACACTTTTAATCCGCCCCTTTGGATCGGCTCGAGGTGCGGGAAAGTGGGGCTGGACCAAGACGCGAAAAAGTTGCCTCCGTGCAACGCGGGGGCTAATCACCCCCGTCGAGATCCTCCACTGGGCGGGGGCGCCCCCCCGCAAAGCGGGCGGATTAAAAGTTTTTGTCGAGTTCGAGGAAGAGGGACGGGTCCCAGGGGGTGGTCAGAGGCACCCGCCCCTTAAATCAGACCTACAATATCCTCCCAAACAAATTTACCCTCGAGATTTTTAATCTCCCGATATTTATTAATAAAGTTAAGTATCGGCGCGATTCCTCGCTGAGAGCCGCCCCCTCCCACCCCCAAATGTCCAGGGAAGGTCCTGAATATTAACTTTCGAAGTCGTCGGCTCCCTGATGTCCTTCAATTAATACTCCCAATGTTCCGAAAATCCGCATTTGATATTTGTAATTCCCGATTCAAAAAATTGTTAGCAAGGTTTACAACGATTTTTAACGTAGCAACATTCATCCCCTGATTTTGCATATAAAGAAATGTAAATTCGTACGAGTGGAAGGATCCTGAATGTTAAATATCGTTTTCCTAGGATATCCGCGGACGTCCTTTGGTAATAGTTTGGGGGTTGGGGTGGATTTTTCAGAATTTCGAAAATCAAAGGACGTCGGTAATTTCGCCGAAAAAAAAAAATAAAAAACTGATAGTCGAGGATGCACCGGGCAGGAGGAAGGAGGGTTTACTCGGGGGTCCTCCTGGGGCCCCCTCCGGGGTGAGGGAGAGGGGAGGGAAAATCGGGCGCCGAAATTGGAAAAGGGGGCCGCGGCTTTATCTCCGCCGGAGCTCGATTCCGGACGGGAGCAACCTATCACACGTCTAATTGCAAAGTTGGTGAAAACAAGGAGTGCTCGGCAAACAGGCGGCCCGAGTAAATATAACGTCCGTTCGCCCGGGAGACGAAGAAAGGGGCGGAATGGGAAAGAAGGGAGGAATCCCGGAGAAAGCCCGGAGAAAGCTCGGGGATTCTCGGCGGAGGAGGTTGGAAAAACGTGGGAGAGCGAGAGAGACCGCGCCATGGGCGGACGTGGGAGTGGGAGAGAGACGGAGCGAGGGAGCGCGTCGCTACGGGCGCAAGGAGGATCTCTTGTTTGCAGGACATTATGCCGTGTCGGAAAGCAAGATTTTGCTGTTTTTCCTCCCTCGTTAATAAAAGAAAAGCACCCTAAAGCCTTCTCCGAGATCCTCCTCCCCCTTCGTCTCCTATTAATTTTGAGCTCGCTCATTTTCCTCTCCCGAAATCGAGGAAGACCGAACCTCTTCTGCTACTCCCCTTCCGAGAAAGTAGCTTAACTTCTAGCTAGGAATTAATTCGGAGTGCGCGTGAAATATTCAAATGAGCGTTCGCAGATTAGCGGAGCTCCCCTTGAGCGGGAATTTTTTTCCCCCCCGCGAAATTCATTCGAATAAATTCCCAGGGGCTCCGGGCGAGCCGCGGATTACCCTGCAGGTTCAACGACACCCTAAGGTGGATTTACAGGTGACACGTCGCAGGTCTCTCGACGACGCACATCCACCGTGTCGCGAGAATTAACATTTTAATAAACATCACGCGAACAGCCCCTCAGAGTCCTTCGGAGCGGCGGTTTTCCTTCTTTTTTACTTTCCTGCGACCCTTTTATCACTCCCTGGCTTACTATACGGAAGTTGAAGGATCGATCGATCGCGTTGAAGACTCAATGTAATTTCCCTTAACGTTAACTATGTACCCCCTTCGGATGGACTTAGTGTGCTCCTTTCTTTTACACTTCGTTAATACAAATTATACGTACAAATTATCATTATTTTCACGCAGTGGCCCTAGATTTCCCGTTAAATTGGCGAGTTTCGAATTTCCCGCGCAAAATTATAGTAAATTTCTAGTTCTTTTCCGCCAATTTCTGTCGACTTTTATTATTGGACATGCAATCTGAGCAGAATTCAACCTCGACCTATGAACTCGAGACTTTAGTCAGGATCTTTAATTTCTAGTTCATAATCTTGACGGAGTAGTCTAATTTCCCCAGGTCTTATCAATTGAAATTGACGGATCGATGACGAGCTCCCGGCATATCCAGGCCTTCAATTTCCGTTCCTCTGAGAGAAATACAAATCTTTCGCCGTTCAGACTTCTCTGAAGTATCTGAGAATAGTGCATTTCCTGATCAGTGATCAATTAATCAAAGGTAATCCTGGGGTCGGCGTTTGCAGGAGGCTAGTTCGTCTCCGAGGGTCGCCGAGTTGAGTTTAACCGTTGTTTAGTCGTCTGATTAGTAGCTACAGGATTGTGGACCGGTCTCTGACAAGAGTACAAGTTCCCGGAGACAAGAAACCTTGTTTACGAACGTAGTTTACGCCTCGGGGTCCAAAGACACGAAGCCGAGATGCATTCGAGTCGTCCCTGAGGGAACTGGCCTTTAAAGGGACCTACAAACCCCAACCTGCCTCAACATAGGTTACACTTGTGCAAAGCTTCCTGTCCTTCTCCCCATAAGTAACAAATCTAGAAACCAAATGCACTAATAAATCAAATAATTACTCAAGATTCATTTACGACAAACCACCATCCATGTCCTGTTCACCTGACTCCTCGGAAAATCCATCCCTTCCCGTGGACTAATTTTTCCCTCCTCGAGGGAAACCTTGAAAAACAAAACACCTGAATTATTTCAACGGACAAATCATTTACATTCCGTAAAAATATATTTCCTGTCCATCCTGTGCAGGACAAACCTCGCAGATGATGACTAGGTGAGCGTCTCGCGTTTACACCGTGCTTAAATATGCATTTGGTGCGAAACTCTGCCGAGTCTGAGATGAGTTGTCTGGTTTTTCTTCCGTTTTTTGTTCCTTCTGTTTGAGTTAATTGTAGATTGAAGTTTTCTCTGAAAGTATGCGTTCGCCGATTGCATGGATCGAGTCGGCTTTAATGATCTATTAATTCCAGGGGCGTTATCGAGTCACCTTGGCCGAGCCATTCGATGAGATAGGAGATTACGAGCTGGCCAGCGGCTAAAGCAAGTTTCTACCGAGGGGAATTTTCCCGGAGATATTAGGAAAGCCTTTAAATACCTTCGCGTGCTCCGCGGAGTTCCTAATCGTCGGCCGGAATTCCCGTGGATTTTTCCGCCGTCACTCCGCGCCGACAACTTTCTACCGCGTGCGGTAATCACCGAGTCGTAATTTGCGTTTTTCGTGACCGAGCTCATGCAATATTCATACGCCGACTCGTTTGCCCGGTGATTCACAATCAAATGTACCTTCACGCTGCCCAAAGTTTTATCCTGTTTCCCGCGACGAGCGGATTTGTCCCGTTTCCGGAGAGAAACCGAATTACCAACTAATACCTGAAAGCGATATTAAAACAGGCAAACTGGATGGTTCCGAATTTTCCGCGTTTACATGCGCTTTAGTATCGGGTATCGGGTTACGGGACGAGTTGCTTTCCCACCGAAAGTCGAATTTCCCGATTCCAAGATGGCGGCGAACGCTCCGGACCCAACTGACCGACTCATTCAAACATTCCTCGTAAAGAACTCTGAATTCTCGATAAATCTAACCTCCAGATTGTTCCCCACCGCAGTAGACACCATTTTCCACTCCTTCCTCCTCAATTTCCTGGTTAATTCGCCAATATTTCTCTTCAAACTCCGCAAGCGTCTCTCCAACCGACGTGTCCCAACATGCACTCCTCTAATTCAAATCTCGCGCCGTGGTCACGTGACATGATCGATGAAAGCGGCTCACGCGCGTGCGTGGTCCGACAGCCTTTGAACAATTTCACCGCGGGCCACTGACGCAATCTTGATAACGAAACGCCGGCATGTTACCGAGTTATCGCACATCATCGACGAAAAGTTAAGTTTAAAGTTACGTCTCTATCGACGATTTTCGATTCGGTCTCCGTTCGGCGCGGCGCCAGAGGTTCCCGAGCGGAGCCGAAGGTAGCCGAGGACGGCCGAAGCCGGTCAAGGGCGGCGCGCGCCGCGAATTCTCTCGTTTCCGTCGCGGCCACGTGGTGGCCGATCAGCTGATCGGCGCGCGCCACAACCGCCGGAAGTACTCACGGTTTGTCGGGCTGCGACCTCCTGGCCCTCTGCTCGGCCATCTGGATCTCCTCCGCCCTGGTGACGCTCTTGGCGCGCCGGTTACGCACTCGACCCTCGTGCTCGTGGTCCGCCATCTTGGCGGCGATCTCGGCTCGCCGGAAACGGTCGGACTTTGACTCGCGGCAATTCCGCGCGGTAAGCCGGTAGTGGACGGAAATGAGTGTTGACCAGTGATGCGATTCGCGTGCGTTTTTTCACGAGCCGACGGGGACGCGTATCGCTCCTCGTGCAGACCCGACCGATCGGCAGCGCCGCGACGACTCGTCGCCGTCCGGCCGACGCCGTCACGACACACCTAGGCCTAAAGAATGAGTTTCTCTCGTTTCCACGCCCCGCCGTTCCCCCGGCGCCGATAAGGACGGTATCTGCGTTGATGAGCCCGATTTCGATAACGAGGCCGGCCCTGTGAGACTTTCCGCCTGTGTGGCCACTGGAGCAACCACTCCGTTAGCCTGGAATTTTCTACGATTTATCTAATTTACAAACGTTAAGTACACTTTTAATATCAATTTTAGATGATTCTCTTAAAGAATAATATTGTTCGAGGCATTTTCAGGCTCTACTCGGTGTCTCAGTGGAGGACGAGTACTCAACGCAGCTCGAGCCGAGTGCGTATGAAGGCTGTCGAGGAACTTGGCTACGACGAATACTCGACCATATGATTAGCTCTAAGAAATGGTTGGCTAGGCTTAAGGTTAACCCTCTTAGTTCTTTTTCAATCCAATAGAAACTGATATAACGTGAGATTTGCATGTATTGATCTTACGATGTTAAGTATTTATTTAGAAATTTATGGGTGTTGGCAAAGTACATCAAAATAAATGTGTAAGCAATGTATGGATAAGAGCGTTCTCTAACTGTACATCTTTTGTCCTATTCCTTTTAGCTTACAATGATTACACAGAGGTAAACGATTGACATGCATCGAAGAGGATTTTGCAAAAAACTTGAATATAATTAATTACTGATCTCGTCTGAGTGTAAGGGAAAGTAACGGAGTGCACTTCAATTGCAAGACAGTCTTCCGAGTTCTTACGAACTGGAAAAAACCGAAACCACGGTGAGGGATTACTCTTTTCATTGGCAATGTATTTCCCAAAAGAGCGCCCCTCCTTTTTCCTCGCTTTTATAACGAATACGCGCGCCATGGAAAGGCTTTCGAAAGACGCAAAAGAGCGGGAAGTACCTCCGAATGGAGATGACAACGGGCCTGGAAGACTCTTTGAACTGTTCAAAAAGGGTGCAATGTTCGCAAAAATCCTCCAGCCGCGACATAGCGAGTGGAAACCTGTTGACCTTTCAACGTTGATACAAAAGGAATTTTCGAAAACTCGGACGCGAGAGAGGACTCAAACAAACCCGGACCTCGCTCTTACTACGAAATAATGAAATTGGGTCTCGGTAAAAAAAAATGCCCTCCTTCCCTCGATTGTTTTTTGCGTTTACATTAAACTCGGCGCAGGGATTTCTTCCCCGGAGAGGAAATATTTGCACTTCAGACTCTGCCTCAGATTTTGATAAAAACAAACAAGCGAGTATTGTCGCTCCGGAAAAAGGTGCTTCCATAGGGAGTATTCATTGTGCACCAGAATTGCCGATAAACAATGAAAATTCCTGCACAATGCAAGAAAGCGCAACGATTCCCTGATCTCCCATCGATGTATAATTTAAATTCTGATTTCTTAACGCGAACTCCGTAGTCGTCAGGCGATGTAAACAATTTTTCTTAAGCCAGGGAATTACTTTCGCCATTATGCAGCGACGCCTGCATATTGTGCATCCGTTACATCGCGACGCTGCGCTTTTTCCCATAAAGTGACGGCAAAAATGCCTGGTAATTAATAGAACTCCGCGGTAAGAAAGGCCGAATGTAAAGTAGATTGATGCGGATGATGTTGCACATCTTTTTTCTTCCTCCTGGCGGAACATGAAAAGTGCATATTTTACGAGCATGCTGCGTCACGCCCGCGCATCGTAAAAAGCGGCTGCATAAAGTCCTTACGAAATGCTCTTATTACGTGCACTCCGGTATCGAGCCATTCTGCGAGGGTATCTCGTCTCCCCTCGATTTATCGAAAGCTTTATAAATTATACAAAACGAGGGGAAAGGACGCATTACCTACCGGCGTGAACTTGAGAATGAAACATCCGAAATGCATCGGTAATGTTCTACGCACTATTTACGAGGGATCACTAAATCTCCGAAATTAAACGTAGAAAAATTAAAGTAACCAAGAATGATATATCAGACAATATTTTCACTCTATCTGAGAAGATATAGCGAAGGGAATTTCTTTACCATGGTTAAAAAAATCGACGACCCATCAATGATGTTCTATACATAATTCATAAAAGATCATTGAATTTTCAAAATGAGATGTAAAAAAATTAATATACCTCAGAAATAATGTTACTCGATTTTAGAGGGTTCGGAATAGGGGAATCCCAGAGGAAGAGGCAAAAGGAAGCCCATTTCTTCTCCATGATTAGAAAAGCCCACAACCCATTAATGACGTTCCACTTTGACAGTTGATAAAAGACCGTTATATGTCCAAAATGAGATGTAGAAAAATAAACACATCTCAGAATTAATTTTACTGGATTTTAGAGGGTCCAAAATAGAGAAATCCCAAAGCAAGAGGCAAAAGGAAGCCCATTTCTTCTCCATGATTAGAAAAGCCCACAACCCATTAATGACGTTCCACTTTGACAGTTCATTAAAAAACCGTTAAATCTCCAAAATGAGATGTAGAAAAAATTAATATACCTCAGGAATAATTTTATTGAATTTTAGAGGGTCCAAAGGCGAGAGGAGGCGCGAAATACGAAGTTGTTATGGAATCTCCCTCTCTCTTTCTCCTACGGTTAATAACGACGAATCTGCTTCCGTTTTGCCCGGAAATGATGCCTCGTCTACCTTTGGCATCGGCCCGACGTTATTATCTACAACTCAGCCGTCTTTCAGCGACCCTTCGAACGCAAGTGCTCGCGAAAAGACTCCACGACTTCAGACTTCAGACTTTAAAGGGGGGAAGGAAGAGTCTGATTTGCAGGAGCGTCTCGCGCTCCGCAAAGTGCGGAAAAGGAACCGCATTACCTCCGCAGAGACCCCCCCCCCCCCCCTTTGCGTTCCCGCGAAGGGAAAAGCACCGCATCCCGCAAATGCGCGAAAGACCTCTCTCCCAGGTCGCATTATTTTTTATAATTCCCGTCCCCACAAGATGGCGGCCGGTCGTGTTGCTAAATGCAAAATGCTCTTACCGGGGTCAATTTACCCGAACTCGTACCTCTACCGTACTTCACACACCGGAAGACACCTTCGCGGTGTCAATTAATTTAATAACGAAACCGAGGAGAGTATCAATTAAGGCGTTACATACATTTTTCTAAACATCTCCTCTGCCGACTTCAAAATAGGATGGAAGGTACTCTCTTCGCGTGATTTCTTCATAATGATTAATTGAGAAAAAATGCGTTCGACCTTCTTTTTTGTAACCTGGGAATTTAATACGACCGTGTCGCATGAAGTTTCACTTGAATAAATATTATTTGAAAAAAGGAAAAAAACGAAGAAAAAAGTCAAGCGAGATGTGCGATTTATTTTCGCAATCAGCTCTTCAGGTGAGGACTTCGGGCACTTTGCAGTTGGTCTTCCGTGCCGAATATTAGCGTATTCCGCGTGCGGAAAATGCGGAAAGGAAGGTCGACCGAATGTCGGCAATAATCGAGAAGGTCGGACCAATATTGCGAAAGTTTCTCGAGCGGCGAAGACCGCGCGGAAGTTTCGCCTTCGGAACGCCGCGCCCCGAGAACTCGAAGAAAGCGAAGAAACGAAAGAGGGAAAAAATTCACCCCCTTGTTTGGCGATCCCGGATAGTCTCTGAAATGACAACCACCCTAAGCCAAAGAAAAGGCCATGCTCAATTTTCAGGTGACTTTTTTTCCCCTTTTTTTTATAAATAAAATCCGCTCGCTCTTCAGAGATTCTTTGATTCTCGACTTATCCGAGGAAGTCGAGGGAGGAAGACTCTTTTTCGGGGATGAAAGGGGAGGAAAAAGTGGAGCACGGAAATCACTGGGGTATTAAAGAAGACAAATCCCCTGGGGAATTTCTGGAGGATTCTGGAGCCGATTCCTCCGCGGGCCGGGTTATGGGGTAAATTAATTCGAAGTAGATTCCCTCTCTTTCTCGCCGATCGGGGTGGCTCGGTGGACGATAAACCGCGGTGTGAGCCGATATATCAAAGGGGTGAAAACCCGTCGATGTACCCCGGCACCGGGACGGTGCTGTCTCTTCTTGGGTGGCTAAATAAATTAACAAGCCCCGCCCGATCGAAATCCAGTCGGGCGGTTTCGCGAGCAACCCCTTGCGAAGCGCCGATACCTCTTTCAACCCCTTCGGCCAGCGAGAGTATTTACGACTCGTCCGATTTATATACAAAGGAACCATCCCCTGAGAACCACCCCTCGGAGTGTTCCTTTAAATCGAGCAAAAGTCGGGAGCCGGCAGAAAATAATATATAAAAATAAAAACACAAGGGATGCAAAATAACCCCCTCGAGATTTCCTCCTAAATTTTTTATGTAAAAACCCTGTATTCACGGCTCGTCCGATTTATATATGCCAAGGGATTATCCCCAGAGTGGTGCTATAAATCGAGAAAAAGTCGACGCCACTAGGACAGATATATGTAAATAAAAATTCAGGAAATCAAAAATAACCCCTCGAGATATATCCTTCGCCAGTTTTTAATCGAAATTATTCAGGCGCTTCTCTGTTGGGTCTTTTTCCGGATTTATTGATTATACTTTTTCTCATATTTTATCGTCGTCTCGAATGGGTCCAGGAATCGGAATCGCGGAAGCTCGCGCGGCACCTATTCGATCCCTGGAGCTTAATCCACGGGAAGGGGATGTTGGGAGACCGGGAACTGCTCAGACACGGCACTAGGGGTAGCAATGGCTGTTTCTGAAAGCAAAAGCGAGCTGCACCATGATCCCCATAAGCCTGGGCTAAGAGGCTATTAGTTAGCTCCGAGAGCCGAGACACAGTATCTAAGACCAACGCCACCCTT